GAGATCGTGATCTGAGCTGAAGTCGGATGCTTAACCGACTGCGCCACCCAGGCGCCCCAAGAATTTTCAAAGGAATATCCAGCTTCATCCCAAATTTTGCATACACAATGACCAGTTCATAAAAGTGGATCAAACAATTCTTAACTAGATCCTTCCAATTAAATGATGGAACTGTGGGGGGCACCTGGGTGGTACAGTCAGTTGAGTGTCCGACTCTTGATCTCTGCTCAGGAGATGGTGTGCATTGATGGTGCAGAGCCTGCTTGGGATTCTGTCTCTCTTCCTGTCTGCCCCTACCCTGCTGTACACATGCTCACCCTTGCTCTCTCTCTCAAAATAAATAAATAGACTTTAAAAAAAAATGTAAACAAAGGGGCGCCTGGGTGGCGCAGTCGGTTAAGCGTCCGACTTCAGCCAGGTCACGATCTCGCGGTCCGTGAGTTCGAGCCCCGCGTCGGGCTCTGGGCTGATGGCTCAGAGCCTGGAGCCTGTTTCCGATTCTGTGTCTCCCTCTCTCTCTGCCCCTCGCCCGTTCATGCTCTGTCTCTCTCTGTCCCAAAAATAAATAAACGTTGAAAAAAAAATTAAAAAAAAAATGTAAACAAAAATGATGGAACTTTTTCATATTGATAATATCAATTGGACATGACAAAAATAATGATATTAATAAATCTTTTTTATTTTAAAACAACCTTGAACCCACTTCTTCAGGCAGAAATAGAAGGTACAGAGTTATGCATTCCAGTATACATTAGACACTGTCAATATGTGCCAATAACCAGTGGTAGAAGGAAACCAAGCCCACAAATCTATTAATGTGTAATAATATTTTTTACTTAGGAGGAATCGAGTAAAATCTAAATATTAAGCTTTTCTTAACTCCTCTATAGCACTATTATATTTTTCTTCAAAATATTTCAAGCAGATTGCACATGTGGCTCCTTTATTAATGTACTACTAACAATAATGAGTAATATGAACACATAAATAGACAAATGCATGTTTATCATTCAGGCATTGTTTTAAATACTTCCTTTGTAGTTTGTCACTTTATTCACATGATAATCATTTGTCGTGGTCATGAGAATGTGCCTATAGACCTCAAACTACTGGAAGTTTAATTGCCTAAAAGTACATGGGCTTTGCTCTGAAATCTATTTCTGCATCTGCCCCCAACCAGTGACTGAGTGCAGCAGAGCTAATAAGCAGGGCCATCACTAGAAGACACAGGGCTCCTCTGGTGACCAAGTTTGTCTCAGGATTCCCTGAAACCCTTGCTAACCTTTCTTAGGCTGCACTACATGGTAGAATGCTTTCACTCAACCTTTTTACCATCCCCTTCACTCTGGGTCATACGTGCTTCATGACTAACAGCTTTTCCAGCTTTACTCAGTGTCCACCCCATTTACTCCGATAGATATTTCCTTTAATAAATCCTCTTGTGTTTTATCCCTTTTTGGCATCTGCTTCCTAGAGAACCCAGATTAATACATCATATAATTTTTATACTGTAAGTATTCCTACTCTATAGATTGAGGATCTAGGATCTGAATAGGTTAAGTAACTTTCCCAAAGGCAACATTTTGTTAAGTGTGCAGCAAGGGTATGAATCCAGGGAACATGAGGTCCAAAATACAATCACTCAAAAATTATTAATGAAAACTCCTGAAATCAACTAAGATAAATTGGGATACAATTAGCTTGGTGCAAAGTGTTTGTTTGTTTGTTTGTTTTAATCATTTCTTCTTTTTTTCTGTAACTACAGCATTTTCAAAAGTTTTACTATTTATAATTAGGAAAGAATGTACTATTTTCCTCAAAGATCCCAAAGAACAGTTGTATATTACCAGCTGGTGGGGTGAAAAGAAACTAATAGACTTCAAGTGTGCTCTAAGATTTTCCTGTTTGGGGCACCTGGCTGGCTCAGTCAGTTAAGCATCTGACTTCGGCTCAGGTCATGATCTCACAGTTTGTGAGTTCGAGCCCTGCATCGGGCTCTGTGTTAACAGCTTGGAGCCTGGAGCCTGCTTCAGGATCTCTGTCTCCTCTCTCTCTCTCTCCCCTTCCTCTGCTCATGCTCTATCTGTCTCTCTCTCTCTCTCTCTCAAAAATAAAAAAAAAATTTTTTTAATTAAAAAAAATATTTTCCTATTTCTCTAGAAACACAGACAAAGTGAGTAATGGAAAGTTAGTCTTGTATCTTAATTTTAAATACAGTAAATTCTTGAACAACACACGTTTGGACTTCCCTCAGTCCACTAATACATAAATTTTGTTTTTCAATAAATACAATATTATAAATATATTTTTGCTTCCTAATTATTTTCTTAATAACATTTTTATTTTCTTTTCTCTAGCTTACTTTACTATAAGTATAGTTAGTATGTAATACATATAATATACAAAATATGTGTTAACTGACTGCTTATGTTATTGGTAAGGCTTCTGGTCGACAGTAGGCTATTTGTAGTTTGGGGAAAGTCAAAAGTCATATGTTGATTTTTGATTATGCTCATAACCTCCACATTCTTCAATGATCAACTGTAAACTGTTACTTGGTTTATGGTTCGTGGGTTCGAGCCGTGCATCAGGCTCTGGACTGATGGCTTGGAGCCTGGAGCCTGCTTTATAATCTGTGTCTCCCTCTCTCTCTGCCTCTCTCCCACTTATGCTCTGTCTCTCTCTCAAAAATAACATTAAAAAAAAGATGTAGGAATGTCATGTTACTTAAATCTGAAGAATATCTCATTTTTTATTCTTAACTGTCACTGTTGATAACACAGATAAATGTTATCACAAATACAATTGATCAAGAATCTCATTCCAAACTAGTGTCTTATAGAATAGTTCAGGATCACTATTCTTATTTATTGTTTAAATAAGGAAAAAGTCTGCAGCAGGCCATTTAAGATACTTCAAGTGAAATATAAGTTTTAAAAATAAGTTCTTCTTTTCTGTTTTTGTAAGGTTAAGGAGAACCACAATGCAATAGCTGTTCATACATACCAGAATGGTTTAAATGAAAAAGATAGATGATACCAGGAGGAACTGGAGCCTCTTCTGGTGGGTGAGAGTATAAACCAATGTAAACCACTACTTGACATGTATTTTAAAGCTAACATA